GAGAATACTGTAAACGTTTGTAATACCAACAAATTAGATAATCTAGATGAAATGAACAAGTTACTCAAAACACACAAGCTGCACACTCACAAACTACCAAAACTGAATCAAGAAGAAATAGAAAATCTGAATAGACCTAAAAACAAGTAAGGAGAATGAATCAATAAACAAAGCATCCAAAAAAGAAAAATGCAGGACTGGATGGCTTCACTGGCAGAGTCTACCAAATCTTTTAATAATATCAATCCTTCTCAAATTCGTCCAAAAAATAGAAGAGGAAGGAACACCTCCTAACTCATTCAATGAGGCCAGCATTACTCTAATATCAAAACCAAACAGAGACATCACAAGAAAAGAAAACTATAGGTCAACACCCCTATGAATATAGATGCAAAACTTCTCAACAAAATATTAGCAAACTAAATCCAGCATCATATTAAAAGGATTATACCCCATGACCAAGTGGGATTCTTATCCCAGGAGTGCAAGAGTGGCTCAACATATGGAAAGGAATCAATCTATTACACCATATTAACAGAAGGAAAGTAAACATCCACACAGTCATCTCAATTGATGCAGAAAAGAAATTGACAAAAATTCAAATTCAACAATCTTTCATGATAAAATTACTCAGAAAACTAGGAATAGAAGGCAACTGCTCAACATGATAAGGCCATGAAAGAAAATCCCTCTCAATGTGAAAGAATGAAAGATCCCCACCCCGACTTCCCTACCCCTGCCAAGATCAGAAATAAGACAAGAATGTCTGCTCTTGTCACTTCTATTCGACATTGTACTGGAACGGAGGGCAACAAGCCCAGAAAAAAGAAGCAAAAGGCATCTGAATTGAAAAGGAACAGGCAAACTTACCTCCCTTCACAGATGATATAAAATACATATATATCACTGACCTAATAAAGGAATTCAGCAAAGTTGCAGGAAATAAGATCAACGTATAAAAATCTTATAATAGTATTTTTATACACCAGTGATGAGCAATCTGAAAAAAAAAAAAGACTAAAACAGTTCAATTTAAAATAGCATCAAAATGAATAAAATACTTAGTAATAAATTTAACCAAGGAGGTGTAAGACTTGTATGCTGAATGTGAAAAACATTTTTGAAAGAATTACAGAAGACTTTAATAAATGGAAAGATATTCCATATTCATAATTTGGAAGACTTAATATTGATAAGAGGCAATATTCTTCAAATTGATCTATAGATTCAATTCAATCTCTATCAAATTCTGTCTTTTTGAAGACTAGACAATCTGATTATAAAATTCATCTGTAATTGCAAGGGATACCAATATCCAAAATACTGAAAAAGAAGAACAAAATTCTTCATACTTCCCTATTTAAAAACTTACTACAAAGCTACCATAACCAAAATACTGTGGTGCTAGCATAAGGATAGATGTGTAGATCAATGGAATATAATTCACAGTCCAGAAATAAACCCAGCCATGTGTGGTTATTTGATTTTTGATAAGGTACCAAGACCATTCAATGAGGGAAAGAATAATCTCTTCAACAAATGGTGCTGGGACAACTGAAAATCCACAAAAGAATGAATTCGGATCTCTACCTCACACCATATAAAAAATCAATTCAAAATGAATCAAAAACCTAAATGGAACAGCTAAAACTGTACAACTCTTGGAAGGAAACATAGGTATAAATCTTCATGACCTTGGATTAGGCAATGGTTTCTTAAATATAATACCAAAAACACAAGCAACATAAGAAGAAATAGATAACTCAGACATTAGAGAAATTTAAAGAAAATAGTTTTGTTCATCAAAGGACATTATCTGTTAAATAAAGACAATTACAGAATGGGAGAAAATATTTGCATATCATCTATCTGTTAAGAGACTTGTATCCATAATGTATAAATAACTTACAATTCAACAACAAAAAGATCAAACAATCCAATTTAAAAATGGGCAAAGTATCTGAAAAGGCTTTCTCCAAAGAAGATATTTTAATGGAAGATATTTCATATAAAGATGCTCAAAATCATCAGTCACTAGGGAAATAGAAATGAAAACCATGAGATACCACTTTCACCTCCACTGGGATGGCTACAGGCAAAAACAAAACAAAACAAAACAGAAAATAACAAGTGTTGGTGATGTATGGAGAAATTAAAACCCTTATACGTTGCTGGTAATAATGTAAAATGGTGCATCCACAGTGGAAATACAGGTTGGTAGTTCCTCAGAAAGTTAAATATTGAATTAGCATATGACCTAGCAATCCTACTCCTAGGTATATACCCGGAAGAATTTAAGACAAGTGTTTAAAGAAAAACTTGTATGCAAATGTTCATAGCAATAGTATTCACAATAGCCAAAAGGTAGAATCAACCCAGTGTCCACCAGCAGATGAATCGACAAACAAAACATGGTATTTTGCATACGATGGGATTCAGCCAGATAAAGGAATGAAGTACTGATTCATGCTAATACTTGGGTGAACGTTGGAAACTTTATGCTAAGTGAAAGAAGCCATATATATTATATGACTGTATTTATATGAAATGTCCAGAACAGACAAATCCACAGGGACAGGAAGCAGATTTGTCATTGCTAGGTGCTAGAGGGGGAGGGGAATGGCCAATGACTGGTCAATGGGCACAGCATTTCTTTGGAGGAGGATGAAGGTAATCTGAGATTAGATAATGGTTATGCTTGTAAAACATTGTGTAAACACTATTGAATTGTACAATTTAAAATGATGGAAAGGGTGACTCAGAGACATAGGGAACAAATTTATGGTTACTAAAGGGGAAAGGGAGTGGGGAGGGAAGAATTAGGAGTTTGGGATTTAGAAGATACAAACTACTATATATATAAAATAGATAAACAGCAAGGTCCTAATGTATAGCACAGGGAACTATATTCAATATTTTGTAATAAACTATAATAAAAAAATTGGAAAAAGTGTGTGTGTGTGTGTGTGTGTGTATAGTACATGTGCACCAGAAACTAACAACATTGTAAATCAACTATACTTCAATAAAAAAAACAGAAAAATAAAATGATGGAAATGCTGCATTTTATGTTATGTGAATTTTACCTCAATTTAAAAAATACAAGAGGAGAGAGAAAGAACTTAATTATTCTTACTTTATGCCCAACCTTATCCTAAGCACTTTCCATCTGTTTTATCATCAATCCAAGTGAACCATAAACCCACTGGTCCATAAGTAGGTCATTTCTTAACTGCAGAGAATTTCCAAAGCACAGTTACAACTTTAGAATTTGCTCTGATTCTACATCTTCTGTGAAACATTCCTTTAACTCTCCTGAGACAAAAGAAAGAAAGAAAGAAAGAAAGAAAGAAAGAAAGAAAGAAAGAAAGAAAGAAAGAAAGAAAGAAAGAAAGAAAGAAAGAAAGACAGACACAGACAGACACTGGCTATATTTTATGTAATGCTTCTCTTCCTTTCTCCAGCTTCTAATATTTGCATGTGTTATACTTTGGCTTTACTTTTACATTTGCTTTCTTTCACAGCGTGTCATGTTTGTTGCCTAGCTTATGAGCTCCTCAAGATCAGGCCCAGTGCTTTGTGTTTACAGTCCTGCACTTAGTCCATAGTACATGCTCAATGAAGATTCTCCCTGGCCAGCTGGAATCACATATTTGGCTCCTGTAAATATACTACATTAAAGGCTCCTAAAATAGCCCTGTCTGTTTGACTTGCCTGTGCAACACTCAGCATCCATTTCCCAGAACGAAACTAGGTCACATCTGGGACGCATGAACAGTTTTTAAGAAAAGTTCCATCTGAAACTCAAAACTCTGAAGTGTATATTAAATATAATCAAGCTGATCATGCCGAAAAACTGTACAGGATTAAAACTTCACTTCATCATTACATTTTTGGTCTTTGCTCTTTTACTTCATTTAATCAGTTTTATAGCAACAGAATGACTTGCACATGTTGAAAATCAAAACAGGATGAAAACAGCGAAAAGAAAAGCTAGACGGTTCACTTTATGCGTCTTTTTTCTTTGTGAGTTCTCGCCTACGTTGTGGTTATTTTGTGCAAGATCTGTCTGGTTACTGGGGACAACTTGTGCACAAAGGATCTAAGACATCTCTGCCCTCCTGTAAAAGCGTGCGTCAACAGGGAGGAAAAAATAGATCTCTATCAGTAAAGAGGATGAGATGCCCTCCTGACTGCAGTAATGTGTCAGATACTTCAGTAAAAGAAGCACTTGGAATTATCTGCCTTTAGTGGTTTCTAAGGACGACAGCAGAATTTGCTGGGTCCCCATGAACCTTTTCTTGTGTCTGGGCTAGAGTACACTTCATGGATACTTGTTACTTTGTCTATTGCTTATTATTCTTAAAGTTGGTTTTTTTTTTTTTGAGAAAAGGAGGCAAAATACATCCTTTCTGATAGCACATCCTTTGAAAACTGTAAATCATTCCAAAATAGCAAGGCAGGTGAGCACGCTAGTTATTCCATTAATTATATTATGCCCATTCACCTCCACCCTACCCCCAGGTACCTAAAATGGCACAAAGAAAAATCACATACTTGCTTTTGGCTGCACCATTTCTCTTTGGATTTGTTGAAACCTGGCACAATACTTTACGTCTGCCAGCACTTTGTCGTTGTTCAGGCTACAAGGGCTGATTAATCCTGATTCTCCCTCTTTCCTCTGTTGACATTCCACTTTGGAGAAAGGAGGTCAACTGGTGGAAAGGATCGGATTCTTGTGTCTCAAATTCTGGCGAATTCTGCTCTCCTTTATCCTGTCTCTTACCCCTTACTTCAGATCTATCAGCACTTACTGGATATCTGCTATAAATAGTGACCAGTTCTGTGCTTGGCCTGCAGTAGGGGCTCAAAAATCGACTCTATTCCTGCCTCCCTTCCATTTGTTATAAAGATTCATGGTCTCTGTCAGGGCCCTGGCCAGAAACAGTATATATGCTCACACTGGATTCTGGTAAGAATTGAATGAAGAGACTACTTACAGGAGTATGAATGGAGTTGGGGAAACCAAGAAATGAGCCTGAGGTGCCCAGGGATAGCAAAACACGAAGCTGTGACTCTCCTTAGGCCTAAAAGAACAAGAGGAAGCACCAGTCTTGGAGCTGGGCGAGAGCCGGTGCTCTGGAAGGCAGCTGCCCAACAGGAGCTGTAGTCATTAAAGGACCAGCTACCATTCGACTCTCGGCACTGAAGCGGTGGGGAGAGGTTTTGGCTCTCCTTGTTGGCTGAGCAGAACCGGGAGCCAGAGGGCAAAGGGAGCCTGGTGGTGCAATCTGCAGGGCAGAGAAGTGAGTGGAATGGAGCCAGGTAACCAAAGGGAAAATAAGGAGCATGCTCACATCATAATTTAACTTCAGAACAATTCATGAAGTAGCATCTCTATCCAAACTTCACAAACGAAGACACTGGGGTAGCCAGGTTTAAATAACTTGCTGTAAATAACTTGCTGAAGGTCGCATGGCTACTAAGTAGCAGAGCTAGGATTTAAATTCATGTCCTCTCTAGTTGCGCTTCTGTTCTTTTATACCCAAATGTCTGCCTTACACTTTATTTGTATGACCTGCCTTATGTTTTCAACAATATGAATCATGTAAATGATTATTACTTGCATTTATAATTTGGCGATTAGCAAGTTCAGAGTCAGATGTTAAGTCCCCATCGCTAAGAGTGCACGATTTTGTGGCTTGCATTTCTCAATGGATTTATTATACCTTGTTTTTTTACTTTTTTAAAACTGAAGTATAGTCAGTTTACAATGCTGTGTCAATTTCTAGTGTACAGCATAATGTTTCAGACATACATATACATGAATATGTTTGTTTTCATATTCTTTTTCATTATAGGTTACTACAAGATATTGAGTATCAGTATACTTCCCTGTGCTATACAGAAGAAACTTATCTGTTTTGTAAATAGTAGTTAGTATCTGCAAATCTCAAATTCCCAATTTATCCCTTCTCATCCCCTTTTCCACCTGGTAACCATAAGTTTTTTTTCTATGTTTGTGAATCTGCTTCTGTTTTGTAAATAAGATCATTTGTGTGGTGTTTTTTTAGGTTCCACACATAAGTGATATCACACGGTACTTTCCTTTCTCTTTCTGGCTTACTTCACTTCGACTGACAATCTCCAGATCCATCCATGTTGCTGCAAATGGCATTCTTTTATTCTTTTTTATGGCTGTATGGTATTCCATTGTATAAATATACCACAACTTCTTTATCCAGTCATCTGTCTTCTGTCCGTGTCTTGGGTATTGTATATAGTGCTGCTATGAACATTGAAAACAACCTAAATGTCCACCGACAGCGCTATTTACCCAAATGTTTATTATACTTTTCGATCTTACTTTCCTTTTGCTCTGATTTCTTTATCTTCATATTACAGATATTTTTTCCATGTCTTTTTTTTTCACGAGGTGAAGGATAAACAAATAAATAAATGAGGAACTGTGTAACGTCAGACCTGTGCTTAATCAGTCTTTCCCCTAATACAGAGCCATGACTATCACTTTTGTAAGAGCTGCTAACCCTCATCTCCACCCTCGCACACATACATCCAAGATCTTTACTTTAGAGTTGGCTTTACCATCATAGTCTTTTTCAACAAAGTACCCCCAGCAACCACTTCCCATCAATTAGTCTTGGCAGGGGAGTTGAGACCTATTTGCTATGCTTGGTGTAATATGACCAGTACATTAACTGATAATACTACAGGATCTTCAATATGGAAATGCCCTACGGAGAGAGTAGCTTTTATGTTTAATGGCATCCTGAGAGCCTTTTACTTAAGCTCATTGTATGAGATGAGCATCATTACAGTCTGACTGCTTTCCATACTTTAAGTACTTTAGTGAAAAGCAAGTTAAACAATATGGGAGTGCGTTCCCTCTCCAAATAATTAATTTTTCTTCTCCAGACTCAAATTCATGGCATTATCCCAAGCCTATCTCAATGGTCATTAAAAAAAAAAAGCGCTGTGCTATTTGTTTTTATCATCCTAGATAAAGGCCTATTTGGCCTTATTAATAAAGCTGCCAGGTCACAATTGCATTATCTAACATCCTGAAGCAGCACTACAACACCATTCAGAAAAGAGTGCAATTCATTTAAGCAATTTGAGACTTGGATTTCATTCAAGACCATTTAGTGAAAGTCCCCAAAGGACTGTTACTAAGAAGCCTTGCCCATGAGTTTGTAATGGCACTGAAACAGTATAACAATCAAAATATTACAGATAAGAGCAGTTTCTTAGAGTTCTGTACATTTTTGTAGGTTATAATGTGTTTCTCCTATATCATCCCATAACCACCGAACAAAGCTTTAACAAGTTTCATTTCAATACATGTATCTCTCTGTAGATACATAAACATATAAACAAAACAAAAGTTTGATTCTGCGGAGGATCTACCCAAACTCACTGATTGGCATCATTAATACATTCTTTAATAAAATTACTCACCTTCTTCTCTTCTGCACGAATCTCAGGTACACTGGCCTGTGAGCTCCAGTCATGGGGAACGGCTATTCCTTTGCTCCAGCTGACAGTCTGAGTGCTTTCTCTTTCTCTCCCAAGTCCAGTTGATGAGACTTTGACATTAACACAGATGTGGCTATTTTTGCTCTGGATACATTCCCATTCCATGCTTTGATATTATTGAGAAGTAAAGCTAAGAAAATATTCAGGATTCCGACCCCTTCCAATGGAGAATCATCCTTGAAGCTGTTCTTTTCCACATTCTTTCCACCTCTCCGTTTGTTTCAAAGATGAACTATGAACGTGTTGATGATGTTTTCACATTTAAAAAATTGCTTTCCCATGTATCATCTCATTATATTTCCATAGCATCCTGTATAGTGGATATCATGGTTCACACTTCACCAATGCAGATATTAATGTTCTGAGTGGGGAGGGTACAACTCAGTGGTAGAGTGCATGCTTAGCATGCATGAGGTCCTGGGTTCAACCCTCAGTACCTCCATTAAAGAAATAGATAGATAGATAGATAGATAGATAGATAGATAGATAGATAAACAAACCTAATTACCTTCCCCTCCAAAAATTTTGAAAAGTAAATAAAACATCAGATATTAACGTTCTGGGTTTCAGAGCTAGGCCAGCTCTGGGAGGGTCAGCTAATCCAGTGGTGTCACAGTCACTGGTGTCCATCATTTATTACTGATTTTTAAAATACCTGTTTTTCATCTCTGTGTGTACAACAACTATACCAGGCATTGGGAGTGATACACAGATATACAGGATGCCTCAGAATGCGTCGTCCAAGCCCCAGGAGTAATTTACAGGCGCCATACTTCTTCCTACCTCCCAGTCTTCCCAAGTGTTATTTTCTCTGCCTAGAAGATTCCCCCTAACTTTTCTTAATTCTTCTTCATTTCTCTAGACGCCAGTGATGGGCTAGCAGGTCTGTGTTCACTGCTGTATCCCTGTCACTAGCGCTTTGTACGTGGTAAATGCTCCATCAGTTGTTGGCTGATTGTTTGAACTTGGCATATCATCTTGTTGTCTCTTACTGTCCCTGTGGTAATTTCAGTTCCTTGCTGCCCTGTTGGAATTACATCTCACATTTCTCCTGCTCTAGGAGTCCTGCTACCATTTCTGCTTCTGACTCTGAAATAAACTTCTGAAAAACAGGTGAGACAGAAGGTCTCAAAAGTCTTTTTCTGTGATAATTTGTCTTGAAACTTGGTCTGGGCCCACTGTCAGTGCAAAATAGGAAGACTCATTCAGAGACAACACTGGGAACTAAACACAAAGCCTGATAAAATTCACCAGTTTAATAAAAAAAATGAACCACATTCTGACTTTTTTACTAGAAATAGCAGAATCATAAATTATATCCTGTTTGCAAATCCAGATTTTCAGCTGCATTAACTGTTAACACTAAGCATCAAGGACAAAGTTAGAATAAAATTACTGCTTCCAAAATGAGTAAAAGATAAATTTAAAAGATTTAACAGGAGGAAATATGAAAACCAATATATGTATGTATATGCATGACTGGGACATTGTGCTGTATACCAGAGATTGACACATTGTAATTGACTGTACTTCAATTAAAAAAAGAAGACTTAACAGAAGGAAATATCATAACTCCATTATAACGTTCTGATGTTGTTACATAGGTATAAGAAATATTATGTACATATTTAACTCTATGAAACTTTGTCATCATCATCATCATCATACTCTTCTACTCAAACATCTCTACATTTCTGGCATGAGCACCAGGGCTGGCACATAGCATGTTCTCAGCAAATGTTTTTGAAATAAATGAATACATACACCATGACTGATAGTTGGCAAGAACTTTACGGCGTACTAAGTGAACAGTTTGCCAGCCATGATTCCACTGGAACCTCAAAACAGCCCTGTGACTTGAATAGAGGAATGACTACCAACTCTTATCTTAAAAATGAAAAAAGAGCAACTCAGAAGAATTCATTGGTTCATCTAAGTTCACACACCGGTAGTATGTGATAGAGCTGCCATTTCATCCAAGTCTTGTGACTCCAAGTCCTGATGGCTTGACTTTCAAACTTCATTTTATGTATAGTTTAAAGACTGACAAGTTCTTAACATATTACCCAGCACTCAATATATTTCAAAAATATCAAAAGAAAATTGTTCTAATTTTTTAAATTAGAGACTCATTAGTCTAAATAAACATAGATTCCATTAAAACAAATTTAGAGCCTGCAAACAATTGAATACATTGTCTTAGGACTACACGAGAGGAAATCATAGGGTGTGTGGAATAAAAGCGATCATGCTGTTAGTGAAATGTCAGCATCTCTTAGTCTGAAGGAGTGAGCAATTATCACAAGAGGGAAGGACAAATAAACTGTAATTAAGCCGTGGTTGTAATAGTGTTCTTCTGGGGATAATTATCTGCATTCCAGCCATACTACTCTACAGACAATACAGAGCCTGTTGTTTTCATTTTAATAGTTATATTTGATCCATGCATTTTTAAATCTATGATTTCAACAAACAAATGGTTTTCCTAAGATATTTTAAATGTAGTAAACCTGTAGTTTTTACATAAGGCGCCAGAAACATCTTTAAACAACCAACGCCTCATTATTTAACAAAAACAACAGACCATTGTTAATCCATTTGGCTCAACAATCAATAAACATTAATAACTCTGCAGTAATTAGAGCTGTTCAGAGAGACAGAGCAACTTCAGGAGCTCCATGTGACTGGAGTCCTCGGGCGGAGGCTGGCAGTGGTGCTAGAGAGAGAATTCCTGCATCAAGTGGTGGAAGGGGTTTTGTATTTCTTTGCTAATTCTTAAAACAACTTATAATTGTCCTTATTTCAAGAAAGGTCTTCAATTTATTTACAACAAAAGTACCAGTATAATAAAATCAAATCCTAGGATTCACTGAAAACAACCAATCAGTAGTAGAAGAGAGGAGAAATATTTTATTAAGAATCCACAGTTGACGACAATACAACGGAGTGTGTATAATATGCAGTCCTGAGCTTCTTGCCACCTGAGGAAAAGAGGAAACATTATTCTCACTACTTAGTAGAGCCTGGAGTTCTACAAGACATTGGCTGTAAGTTTGTTTCTAGAAAAGGCTTTGACTGAAATAATAAATAATGTAAATGAGAGCACACCTTACAACAAAAGTATATAAATATTCCTCACATGAGTGTATTTTATAGATATGGCCTTGGTGAAATAAATTTAAAAAAAAAAGCTGGAAAAATAAGACTGTGGTGTGGACCAGAGTGATCCGGCTTCCTGGGGATGGGTGCCAGCAGAGAAAATCTTCCAGGAGCTGGGGTGGGAGAGCTGAGGGAGTCGGGGAGGTTCCCACTTCACAAGCGTTCTGTGTGAAGTAGGATGCACCCTCCTTCCATATTGAAAACCCTTCAGTGACAACCCATTGCATTCATTTCAAAACCTGAAGTTCTTACCAGGCCTTCAAAGCCCCACGTGATCTGGCCTCTGCGCCTTTGCATTCACATTTCCCTTGGATCACTCTGCATGCTGGACCTCTTCCAATTCCTCAAATGCATCGAGCTCTTCCTACTCAGTGCTTCTTCAGAGGCCGCTCTTTCTGCCTGAAATGCTCTGACCCTGCCCTTTGACCTGCCTAATTCCTGTTCATTTAAAAGATTTTGGCTTAAGTGTTCCTGCTACAGAGAAGACCATCCCACCTCTGTCTCATCCCATTTATATTAAATCACAACTATAATCCTTTTACATAGGATGTGGCATTTTTCTTCATAGCAAATTTATAATGACCTGTTTGTGCTTTTATTTGCTGAAATTCTTACGTGGATATGCATGGGTCAGTGTACATTCCTATATATATTTTCTAGCACTGTCCACTGAGACAGCCTAGAAGCACACCTAGCACTCAGATCTTGGTTTCTAATACCGTTCTCCAATAAAAGGAACCAGGGCTCCTTGGAGAAATGACTGATTCGAGGGATAGGGCAGAGAAAATGCAAGATGCGCCTAGAGCATCTTGTCACGACAGAAAGCAAAGAGGTGCTTTGAAAATCATAATATGTGAAGGGGACATGGCAGTTGACCTGAAAGAGCTCCCAATGGCCAAAGCTAGAACAATCTGAGCAACAAAATAAACAATGATAGTGCTGTACTATAACCTAAAGGCTAAAACAAACACCTATGAATCCATACTGCCATAAATGATTGAATAAATAAATCAATAAATATTGGAGAAGGGTCAACTGTCTCTTACAGAAGAATTACAAATAAATGAAGTTACTCCTCCCTCCAGGAGGTAGAGTTTAATTCTTCTCCCCGTGAGTGTAGGCTAGATTTTGTCACTGTCTTCTAGCTAACAGAATATGAAACATAGAAATAGTAACTTTACAGTAAAGAAATACGACATATACTGTCTTCACTAAATGATAAGGTTAACATCACCAGTGATAAGTCATGTTTACAGCATGTTTCCTTGACACAAGGCTATGAGAAGGGCACACCACCTTTACACTTATTCATCCCAAATCCATAACTTCAGTCTATTGTGGGAAAACAAATACAGATTGAGGGATTTCCTACAAAATAAATGACTGGTAATTTTCAAGAGTGTCAAAGTCATAAACGACAAAGTAAGTCTGAGAAATTGGGACAGATTAGAGGAGAGTAGGGAGACAGACACGCTGACAAAATGCAATGTGGTGTTCTGCATGTACTCCTAGAACACAAACATGAGTGGGAAAGTTGGGAAAGTCTGATAAAGTCTGTGGTTCCATTAGGAGTATTGTACCACTGTCAGTGCTTAGTGATGATAAATACACTATGGTCGTGCCAGATGTTAACATTAGGGAGACAGGGGAAATGTATACAGGAACTCTCTATACTGTTTGCCAACTGTTCTGTAAAACTAAAAGTATTTCACAATGAGAAGTTAAAAATATCTTCTCCCATTGAACTACAACTCCATTAGCAGAAATCATCTTTGTAGTGATCAGTCCTGTATGACATTCCTAGAACAGGAATGTCTGCTGGCTAAGACTTAAGAGTTCTGGAGCCTGGCTGCATGTTTGATTCCTGGCTCTGCCACCTAGGAGCTGTGTTATGAGCAAGTTTCTTAAGCACTCTGTGTCTCCGTGTTCTCATCTATAAAAAGGACTATAAGGTAGTTGTGAGAATTACAGGGCTTAATATGTATAAAACACAGACAACAGTGCAAGGGTAGTTATCACTGATATAATTCCCATTGGATATATCATTGTTGAACGAGAGAATGAATGATGCAAGGTTTTGGTTAAAAGGGAGTAATGATTCTATTAAATTCAGGAAGAAAGAGTGTTTGGAGAAGAGGTTCAGGATGAACAGCAATATGAATGGAAGTGGGGCTCCATGAGGCATAGTGGATGGGTTGG